CTCAATATATATATATATATATATATATATATATATATATATATATATATGATAGTTACATATATTATTCAAGAAATGACTAAATATTATATACAGGGTTACCCAGACTCTCTTCTGCATATTTTGTGGAAAAGTCAAAATGTAGGGTTAAGATGAACACAAAAGTCCCATACCGATATTCGCAATAATAACCGAAAAATTAATTGTAAAATATTACGGAAAAAAGCATACAGAACGGTTGAGGGAGGAGCGTTCGCGACCCAGTAATATAATGGGCGGATGTCAGTGCGCGGCAAGTGGTAGATCAGCCCGCTACTTATGCTTATATCTCTGCGATACTATGTCTTGCTATGCCGCGCCGAGGCGAGATGTAGGAGTGCAGCATGATAAGTACAGGTAGTGTACAGGTGCGTTGCTTTTCCAATCAGCGTACGCCGACATCTCGCGTTATATTACTAATCCGTGAGTGCTCCTCCCTCAACCATTTACCGCTTTCCTTAATCTCTCTGTGCGTTTTCCTTAATTTTTACTATTAATTTCTCGGTTATTATTGCGAAAATGTCAAAACGATATAGGACTTTTATGTTCGCCTCAACCTGTTCTATGTTCCCACAAAATATGTGGAGGAGAGTCTAAATATATACAGTATGTATACAGGGTGAGTCATTTTAATGTACCCACGCAAATTACTGTGAAGATAGAGTTGATAACGAAAAATATTTCAAACAAAAGTGATATCGTTCGACGAAGGACATAAGAAGGTACTATTGGCTTGATCTTGGGTGGCGCCGCTAAGGTTAGATTGAGGTCAACTTTACTTTTTTAAAACAGAAACATATATTTTTCTATTACAGAATTTTATTTTACGTAAAGAAACAAACATTTTTTTCTTTGAAAAAAATTTTTATACGATCTCTATTTTTTAAGGCATTTACGGAAATATCTACGAAATTATTAGATTCAATCATTTTTTACTCGAATTCTGTCAACTTTATCGAAAAATAGCAAGAGATAAAAATTATCTATTTTTTTCTTATAGAGATCTGAGAATTTTTTCAGAATTTTTAAATTAACTTCTTAATACTGCATTTTCTTAAAGTACTAAAAAGTTTATAATACAGTTTTGTATATACAGACTTATATACAGGGTGATTTATTTTAATCGCCCTAGGCTATTATCTTAGGAACAGTTTCAGTTGCAGTCTCAGGTGCAGTTTAGAAAAAATGCTTTAGACTAAAATTGTAAGTTGTGGGGGACATTAGAGAGTACCATTAGTTTGATCTTTGATGGCGTTACCAAGTTCAGATTAAGATTACATTTATTTTTTTAAATGGAACCTCCTCTTTTTTATTGTATATTTTTGTAGCTTATCTCGAGAGCTTTCCAAAACAACTACTATAACAACTATTTTTTCATTAAATATTCTTTGAGTAATGAAATTTGAAAGTTATAATACCGCCGGCATTAGCATTACTCAGGGTGTACCACGCAGAAGTTGCTCAATCGGATATACACCTCTTTCGTGTATGTGTGTGTGTGCGCGTACGTACGTGTGTGCGCGTGTGCGTGCGTGTATGCGTGCGTGTATGCGTGCGTGTGCATGAGTGAATACATGGATGATTAGGTTGTTTAATGATAAATTAAGAAATAGATAAGGACTGAGGATCGTCATATCATACCCATCCACCCACCCACACAGGCATGCACGCACACACACACACACACACACACACATACACGAAAGAGGTGTAAATCCGATCGAGCAACCTTCGCATGAGACCCCTTAGGTAATACTAATACCGGCGGTACTGTAACTTTCAAGTTTCATTACTCAAAAAATACGTTATAAAATACGTAAAAAATACGTTAAAAATAGTGTTTTGGGAAGCTCTTGAAATAAGCTAATTGCAATATAAAATGAAGGTTCTATTAAAAAAATTCAAGGTGACCTTGACCTGATCTTGGCGGCGCCATACAAGATTAAACTAATGGTATTCTCTTGTTCCCCATCGAACCTTATAACTTTTTTAAATACTTTTTTTAAAAGCTATTTTTCCATATCTTTTATACATTTCGAGATATTTCAATGTAAAAGTAATGTGGAACACCCTGTATATGTGTATGTATATATATATATATATATATATATATATATATATATATATATATGTATATGTATAAATATATACCTCCTTCACCACGCAGCGCTTTTTCGACGCTTACTCCTCTGTTTTCTAATTCTCTCTGCTTCACTTCAGTCTCCTCTAATTTCCTTTGTATTTCTTGAGCAATCCGCAATCTTCAACAATCAAATCATAATATATTAAAACCAAATTTCTGATAACATATTAACTAATTTGAATAAACGTATTCATAAAATATTTAATATAAAATTATTTATTATATTAAGTATAGTATTAAGAGATACCATTTCAGAAAAGAGAATGTTGGGAATAGATTAAATTTCATTGGTCTTCTAATAGTTAAATAAAAGATAAAAAATATTCTAATGTTGTCTAATAAAAATTAGAACAGTCGTTTTGTTGTGAGTCTTCAGAAATATCTTATAATAATAAGATTGGTCTTATAATAACAAGAAGGAGAAGAGTATATTAGGTGACGGCGGGACGCCGTACGTTCGGGATCTGTTCTTTTCGTTTCGGAGAGAAAAATATCGAAAGCGCGGTTTGCTAGACCGGGACTCGAACCCGGATCTTTCGCTTACTGGGCAACTGCTTTAAACCATTGAGCTACTTGACGCTCCACGCTCACGACACACTCTCCTTTCCCCAGATAACGTTCAGAGATGCCGTTCGGAAGCGACATCTCTGGCGCTATCCCAAGCGCACGGCGACTACAGAGAGAAACACTGTTATTGTACCAAGTGGTATAGCTGTTAGTCTTTTAAAGTTGCTATTCTTTAAGACCTGCTGTCTATGTATGCCCGTTAGGGTGGAGCGAAAAACAAGATAGTTTTTGGATCGGAATGGTACTATACGGAAAAGTTGAAAATATATAATAACAGTGCAAAAGTTCAGCTCGATCGGATAATATTTTTACTAATGCAATTTGGTCAAAGATTTTAAGTTTTAAGTCAAGATACAAAAAATTAACAGTTTTATCGTATTGACTTAAGACAATCTAATTTATGTTAGATGGCTTTACGCACTCACCTTATATTACAAAAAGGTCGGAAATTAATAATTAAAGATCTTAGTGCATGTGTAGGAGATGTCAAGTGGATTGTTAAAAGTCTCAACTTTGACCAATGTAAATGAAATTCACAATATTGGCAATTGCGGACGAGATATTTACAAATTAACATTCTTCATCGTGATAATCGTTTTGTATAATTGTACATTGTATAATTTGCGCTCCCAGCGTTGATCGGTAAAAAATGCATGTTCGGTAACAAGAACTCTTTTAGACTTATCACAAGTACATTATAAAAGATTTATGCATTTGCAGGCTGTTATATCAAACAGTTTCTTCGTTTACAAACGTTACTATAGTATTTTAGGAAGCTCTCGAAGTAAGCTAGGTGTACAACTTTGCTTCCGCCGTTTTCCTATAGATGGCTTTAGCGGTAAGTGGTGGTCGAAATAAATAGATCATAGTCGTCATATAATAAACTTGGGCATTTGTCAACATAACCCCATAGAAACATTAGTCGATTTGTGTCTGCATCATAAAGTTATTCTCGATTGAAAATATCAGTTTACAAACCAAGTTTTCGTCATTTGCGGGAGGTTTTAATTTTCTGCTTCAATATGAAGAAATCTGCGGCTGAGGCTCATCGGATGCTCTCAAATACTTATGGTGAGGCCGCTATTAGTGAAAGAATGTATCGTGAGTGGTTTCAACGCTTCAAGAACGGTGATTTTGACGTCGAAGACCGGCATAGCAGCGGAAGAGAGAAGGTTTTCGAAGATGCAGAATTGGAGGTATTACTTGATCAAGACTCGTGTCAAAATCAAAAAGAATTGGCACGATCATTGGGAGTGACTCAACAAGCCATTTCAAAACGCCTCAAAACCATGGGAATAATTCAGAAGCAAAGAAATTGGGTGCCGTACGAATTGAAACCGAGAGATGTTGAACGGCGTTTGTTTGCTAGTGAACAGCTGCTTGAAAGGCAAAAACGGAAGGGATTTCTGCATCGCATTGTGACTGGGGACGAAAAATAAGTTCATTACGATAACCGCAAGCGCAGAAAATCATGGGGAGTTCCCGGCCATGCTTCCACGTCGACGGCCAAACCGAATATTCACGGCTCTAAGGTCATGTTCTGTATTTGGTGGGACCAGCTCAGCGTAGTGTATTATGAGCTGTTAAAACCGACTGAAACAATCACAGGCGATCGGTATCGAACGCAATTGATGCGTTTGAGCCGAGCATTGAAAGACAAACGGCCGCAAAACAATGAGAGACACGATAAAGTGATTTTGCAGCATGACAATGCTCGACCCCATGTTGCGAAAGTGATCAAGACATACTTGGAAACGTTGAAATGGGAAGTCCTACCCCACCCGCCGTATTCTCCAGACGTTGCTCCCTCTGACTATCATTTGTTTCGATCAATGGCACACGGCCTGGCTGACCAGTACTTCCGGTCTTATGAAGAAGTAAACAATTCGATCGATTCGTGGATCGCCTCAAAAGATGACCAGTTTCTTCGACGCGGGATTTGTACGCTGCCCAAAAGATGGGAGAAAGTAGTGGCCAGCGATGAACAATACTTTGAATTATAAATGTATAACCAGTTTTTTACAATAAAACCTCGAATTTCGGAAAAAAACGGAAAGCAAAGTTGTACACCTAATATAAAAATATACAATATAAAATAGGAAATTCTATTAAAAAATTATATGTCATCAGCTGCTTTTTTATACTTATTCTTCCTAACCTAGGATTTCATGACGAGACTGATACTGTGACAGCTCAGGATTGAGTCGTCACGAACCTATCCGACCAAACATCAGTCGGACGGGAAACCGGCACCTAGGCGCCACCACTAACTTCCACCACTTCGCGCGACAAAGTGTTTCCGCGCCGCACCACATCCCGAATCTAGAACGATAGACACCGCGCCGCGCGAACGAGAGAAGATTCCGCCGAGGTAGTCAAGCCGATACCGATCCGACTACCAAAGCCTACGAGTATTCTCGTATCCCGACCAGAAGACGAGCCCGCTCATTGCTATCCGCGAGAATTCTCGCTTATTACCGTCAACGAGACTTCTCATTGTCATTTATTTCGGCGAGCTTTCTCGCATCTCTCCGCCAGCGAGCTTACTCGTGATCGATAATCCCCGCGAGTCGTGTTGAACAACGAGGTTACTCGTTGCCAGATCCACTTCCGCGAGACTTCTCGCTTCCTCCGCCGACAATACTCACTCTCGAGCCCGGCGACTCGAGACTTCTTGCTCCTGGACGAATTCCGTCGGTAATTCCGTTATCACGAGACTTCTCGTCGTCGCCGACCCACGAATCACAATATTGTCGCGTCCGGAGCCGCAGATAAAACACTGTTCATCACCTCCACGTTATAACTCGGCTAGCGAAAGCATCGACTCGACGATCAAGGAGCTTATATCAAAGAATAGGGGTCTCATATCAAAGGACGCGGATTGTCGCGTGACCTCGACATTTCGCGAACCATCGAACCAACGCTAATAAAATATCGGTGCGTTCCGCGCGACTAGAGAAAACCGCCCGCGTACAACCAACACACCGTTCGGGACTTCGTCCCTCATGCACTTCTTATATTTATTATTAGTATTATTATTATTCTTATACTTATTAGTAGTATTATTATTCTTATTATTATTATAGTTTTAATAAACACAGTTAATATATACGCTTGGGCAAGACCCTATTTATTTCTCCTACGCAAACTCGGCGAACACATCCAGTAGACATTCCTGAGCGACGGGCTACCGTGCAAATTTGCACGATAAACATTGATATTTTTTAAAACATTTTTCAATTTAACTCATTAACGTCTAAATGTGCTAAAATTTTACGTTAATTTGAACCATTTATTTTACTACGGAAATGAAGCCTGTTGTTTATAAAGAGTACCATTCCTACCAGTTTCAATGTTGCTTTATCGAATAACGTTGAGAAAATAAAAAAAATTGCAATTTATTCAAAATGTTTACAAAATAAAATTAAAAAACGCATGTTTTTAAGGCTAATTTTTCTTCTTTCGCTATTTTCTCCATAAAAACATGTTTATAAAAATGTATTGCTCGGGAAAATGCCTAAAACATATTGCCGATACTTTAACTTAAAAAATGTGCCATGGGCATTTTTTTCAACAAACATGGCGGTGCCAAAATGGCAGTCGATTTGAAGCGTTTAATTCGAATTTTCGTTTATATTTGGTTATCGAAATTGTTTTATTATATAATTATTATGTGAATTACTATGTAATTTTATAATAATATTGACCCTAAAACAATTTGGATAATCAAATATAAGCGAAAATTCGAATTAAACACTTCAAATCGACCGCCATTTTGGCATCATCATGTTTGTTGAAAAAAATGCCCATGGCATATTTTTTAAGTTAAAGTGTCGGAAACACGTTTTAAATAATTTCCAGAGTGATACTAACACGTTTTTATGCAAGAAATAGCGGAAGAAAAAAAATTAGCCTTAAAACATGCGTTTTTTAATTCTATTTTGTAAAAATTTTGCATAAATTACGATTTCTTTTAAATTTTTTCAACGCTGTTCGATAGAGCGACATCGAAATTGGTAGGAATGGTATTCTTTATAAACAACAGACCTCATTTCCGTAGTAAAATAAATGGCTCAAATCAATGTGAAATTTCAGCCCATTTGGGCGTTAATGGGTTAATAGACGGAATTGATGCCTTTTCGTGCTTCATATGTCGACATCAACTTCTTAGCCACATTTTCAGCAATTAGTGTAAATAAAGGCTCTTTATTTTCCTCCAAGGGATCCAGTAGTGTACGCTCTTCAGCGCAGCATCGTAGAATATCTTCGTAAGTAGCAAGTTGATTTCCATTAAGATCCTGCGGATCATCAAACAATCGGCAAATAAATGTGGATCTTTTTTTTGAAATTGGAAGTAGGTCTTTCCATGATTTGATCAAATTATTATATTAAACGATTAGATGAAGAGAAGTAACTTAGTAGAAAAGGCAAATAGAAAAAAGTAACTGATGACATAGTAACGTTTGTAAAAAATGTGAAGAAACTGTTTGATGTAACAGCCTGTAAATGTACCTTTCAAAATGTACTTGGGACAAGTTTAAAAGAGTCCCTATTACGGAACACGCATTTCTTATCGATCAGCACTGGGAGCGCAAATTATGTAATGTATAATTATACAAAACGATTATCACGATGAAGAATGCTAATTTATAAAAATCTCGTCCGCAACTGCCAATATTGTGAATTTCATTTACATTGGTCAAAGTTGAGACTTTTAGTAATCGACTCGACATCTACATATGCACTAAGATTCTTAATTATTAGTTTCTGACATTTTTGTAATATAAGGTGATTTCATAAAGCATTTAGCATAAATCAGATTGTCTTAAGTCAATATAATAAAATTGTTAATTTTTTGTGTTTTGACTTAAAAACATAAAATCTTTGACCGATTTGCGCAAGTAAATGATATTATGCGATCGAGTTGAATTTTGCAGTTACAACTTTTCTGCATAGTGCCATTCCAAACCGAAAACTATCATATTTTTCGTCTTGATCTTGGCTATCACATCGCAATGATAAAAATATATAATCTCATATAAAAAAGTGATAATGACCTTGAAATTCTAAAAAATATGATTTTGAGAAAAATGTTTTGTTTTTTAGAAACTGTCCTACTTGCACACAAACCCAATTGCACACCATCAATCGGTGCTCTGCTTTATCTAGTGAATTACTAATTTATAAGTAAGTTACACTTCCTATTTACATATACAGGGTGTCTCACCTAAATTGAGCATCTTAAATATCTTGCTTATTTGTTATGATAAGAGAATGCCAAAAGCCGACATTTTCAGTTTGAGGAGACAAATACTGTAAACAATGAATGAAGCCCGCTTGCATTACTCAAAAACTCAATATTTATTATTCAATATTTATTACATTACTAATTCACTAGATAGAGCAGAGCACCGATTGATAATGTGCAATTCTATGTGCAACATTTTTTTATATCTCGTATACTTTGGACAATATTAGCTCTAGAAGAAAAAAACCGATCTTCTCCGAAGGGGTATTTCACTCCTTAAAAGTGCGTATGAGCGTGTATAAAAAAATACGTATCTTTTTTTTAGTCTAGATTCCAACATATTTCAAGCTCATTGAAATCGGAGGGAAACATTTCTGTGAGTTTAATTATGTTAGTACGTAACATAATTGTATTTCTTACCTTTTTAACTGTGCTTGTCTGGCTACTTTCTTGGAAGTTTTAGATTTACGATGAAATTTATTGTATTCTTCGGTTACGATAGCTTTTTGCGTATACGACGTAGATAAAGTGGTAGTTTTCGTGTCGTCATCCGACAAACTGTCGTCTGCAACATAAAGAATATAAAATTACAATCACTTTGTATCTTTATGTTTTATACAGTATGTTTAAAATGCAAACACATAATAGCTAAATTCAAATATATCATCTTTTGATGTAAAAGGTTATTCTGGTATAAGTTATGTTAAATTTTTTTACAGAATGAAAAAAAAATGCTTTACTCCGCCTATATGTATACTTCTTAAATGTATATAATGTAGAAAAAGTACGTTCTATTTATAAAATTTCTATTGTTAACCCATTAAAGTCCATAACTATATGTTTATAATAATTTATTGCAAAATTGATTTTTATGTTCAATATAGTTTTTCATGTTTCGATTCTATTTGCAATTGTTGTTTTTGCTAACCTTACTGTCATTACTGGCCATAAACTTTAATGGATTAATCATTTCTTAATAAACAATGAGCGATACGGTTATGATGTTTTAAATGTTATTTAAAAACAGGATACTAATAACCTTTATAAAGATAGGGATCACTGGAGATGGTTCCGCTCATGTGAAAATACCAGATTGATTGATAGTCCTTAGAATGAAAATGAAAAAAAATACTTTGTTAGCAAAACTCAACTTTACTCTTCAACATAACCAACATAATCTCCTTTTAGCTCAATACACCGAGTCCAACGAGTTTCTAGCTTCTTTAACTTTTCAAATAATAAAAAGTTTCTAAACCGCCAAAATACGCGTCTATTTCCCATTCAACTTCTTCATTTGAAGCAAATCTCTTTCCCTGGAACCATCTTTTGAGATTTAGAAACAGGTAAAAGTCACACGGGGGCAGATCTAAAGAGTACGGTGGATGTGGGAGCAATTTATTTCTCAATTCGTTCAATTTTGCCATTGCTTTTACCGATTCGTGAGCTGGTGCATTGTTTTGATGAAAGAGAATTTTTTTCTTCGCTAAATGAGTCCGTTTTTTCTTGATTTCATCATTCACTCAATCCAACAATGATGCATAATATTCTCCTGATTGTTCTTCCTTTTTCAAGATAATTGATGAGGATTATTCCATGTGCATCCCAAAACACAGTGGCCAGAACCTTTCCAGCCGAATGTTGTATCTTTGGTCGCTTTAGAGCACTTCCATTCTTTGGAACCCATTGTGCCGACTGTTGTTTCGATTCTAGTGTATAATAGTGGATCCATGTTTCATCAACAGTTATGTATCGACGCAAAAATTCCTTTGATTTGCGCCTAAACTTATCCAAACAATGCTGAGAAGTGCGAACTCGTTCACGTTTTTGATCGATTGTTAGCAATTGCGGCAACTATCTTGCAGTTAGCTTTCTCATACCTAAATTTTCGTGTAGAATATTGAATACATGTTCAGATGAGATGCCCACAGCCGCAGCTTGTTCACGCGATTTTACTTTAGGATTATCCAACACGATATCATGGATTTTTTCACTCATTTCTAGTTCACTCATTTATAGTCACCTCATTTGGATGACTATTGCGTCGTGCATCCGATGTGCTAGTACGACCACGTTTAAACTCAGCAATCCAGTTATATACGGTTGAATTCGACGGAGCAGACTCTCCCAAAATTTTTTGGAAGTCCTCAATCATTTCTTGCGGTTGCAAGCATTTCAAATATAAATACTTAATTATTGCACGAATTTCAGTTTTTTCCATTTTTACAAAATATCAGAGATTATGTGCTTTCGGTAGCCTTATTGCCTCAGCCAGGAGTCAAACCTGGAAACTCCCCACTATCCAGGCGGGATGTTTTTATCCATTCGCTATTATTTATCCATCCAAAATCACGTATTACTCTCCAAGTCACGTATTACTCTCTCTTTGTTCTTTCTCGTAATAAAAGATGATAAAGACAGACATTTAAGATCTATTATCATATGATATTGTTGTGATTAGGAGCTCGACAAGAGGTAGTTACTAAGAACGAAGAAGTTTATTACTGATATATTACACAGAGAGACTTATGATCAGATGTGTACGGAGATACAGTCGACAGCGAACTGAACTTGTTGTAAGAACTGCTAGACTTAGTATTCTCGTGTTATTAGTGGCAGAAGACGATTAGCTGGGTTCCTCAAGCATATGTGGATCAGTGGGTATCTTAACGGAATTTGCTTTTAACATATTGAATCTTTGCAGAATTTTCTCGATATAATTTGTCTGGCATAAAAAACTCCATTATTAATGCGTTGTATATCTATTCCGACGAAGCGTTTTAAATCGCTTGTAGTGATTTTAAATTTTCTGTTGAGTAGACGCGTTAATTTCTGTAAGGTTTCGGCATGATGTGCAAATGTGATACTGTCGTCAACGTAAAGTGCTAAGTATACTTTGTCACCTTCGTAGGTTGCCGTGTATACACATTTGTCGGAAGCACATTGTGAAAAACCTATGTTTCTAACAAAAGAGTTGAACTTTTCGTTCCAACAACGGCCAGATTGTTTTAGACCATAAATAGCCTTGTTTAGCTTTAGAACTACATTTTTGCTTTCTACATTTAGACCGTCGGGAATTCGCATGTAAACGGTTTCTTTTAAGTCGCTATTCAAATAAGCTGTACTTACATCAAATTGAATTGATTTCAAGTTTTCCTTCACCGAAATTGCTAGAAGGAGTCGTACGGACTCATATTTCACGACTGGAGAAAATATTTCGTTATAATCCACACCGACTTGCTGCGAGAAACCTTGAGTACAAAGGCGTGCTTTGTAACATACTGGATTGTCACTAAAAGAATCTTTTATTTTGAAAACCCATTTATAGCCTATCGGTTCATTAGGGAGTGGGACGATCTTCCATGTTTGATTATGTGAGTGTGCTTTAAGTTCCTCTTTTATCGCATTTTTCCATTGAGTTCAATTTTTACCATTAACAGCTTCTTCATATGTGGTCGGTATGTAGCACGATGCCGCGTAAGCCGCGTAATATTCGGGCGTTTGTAAACGTTCACGGGATCGCAAATGATATCGACTCGGATGTGCTCGTTCGTCGTGTCGATTGTCTGGACGTTCTGTCGTCAGCTCATGAAAAACTTTGCCCGATGACAAATTAACAGCGTCATCAGGGCTGTCTGAACTAGAGGACGAATCGACCGGGTTACATGCATCATTTTGATCGCGAGTTTCCTCGTTTTCCTGACTTTTGTTATCGAAATTGAAAGAAAACCAAGTTCCTTTGTCTTTTATCTTGTTCGTTGGACTTTCAGTAAAGATAACGTTTTTACTGACCGTGATTTGCTTGGTTCGTATATTTAGTAATCTATAATTATTCGAATCTTTTTCGTAACCTACAAAAATTAATTTTTCGGATTTAGAGTCCCATTTCTTTCGTGAAACATTAGGTATATAACTATAGGCATCGCAACCAAAAATTCTAATATGCGATAGATCTGGTTTCCTTTTCAAGTAGAGTTCTACGGGTGTTTTCCTATTTGAATATGTAGATATTGTCCTATTTAATATATAAACCGCCGTGTTGACAGCCTCGCCCCATAGATTCTTGGATAAGTTTCGTGTTAAAATCATGGAACGCACGCTCTCTACGATTGTACGCATTTTGCGTTCTACACGACCGTTTTGTTCTGGCGTATGAGGAGCGGATGTGAGTAACTTTATCCCTAATTGGTTTAACAGACTACGGACTTTTGGGTTGGTAAATTCAGTACCGTTATCGGCCCTTAAAATTTTTATATTTCTTTCGAATTGATTTTGCGTTAAAATAAAGAACTCTTTCAAATAATCAAAAACATCGCTTTTGTGTTTCAAAAAATAGACTGTTCTATAACCTGAGTATTCGTCTTTAAGTAGCATGAAAAATCTAGCGCCATTAATTGATGGCGTCTGCATCGGCCCACATAAATCCGCATGAATAATTTCACCAGAGACAACATTGTTTTTTATTTTAGTTGACGTAAATGATGATCTTGCATATTTACCCAAAGGACAGTTCTCACAAAAGAAATCTTTCTTATCAGATAATTTTATGCCAGTGACCGAACAATTGGTTACCATTTTTGTGAGTGAATTACAATTTACGTGGCCAAGACGTTCATGCCATACCTTTAGCGGTGCCGAAGATGCGTAATTCGCTACCATTTTTGTTTTTGATTTAATTAGCAATCGTATTAAATTATTTCGTTGTTTAACACCTCGTGTGACAACCTGCCCATCTTTAGAGAGTACGTTGGCACAATTGCCGTTCAAAATAATTGAAAAACCATTCGATGTACATATTCCAGTAGAAAAAAGATTTTTCTTCAAATCTGAAACGTACGCGACATTGTTAATCTCTCCATTGTTAATCGAGCCATTCGTCACCGATCAGCCTAGAAATAGCTATCTTGCTATAGCCTTCGACTTTTAAATTCGTATTATCACCGAGACAAACGTATTCGACATTACAAGGAAATATTTCTACGAACCATTCTCGCTGGCAACAGAGGTGCCGTGACGCGCCGCTATCAAGTAGCCAAATATGACTTTCGTTTAGTTCACATAACGTGTTTACATCGTTGACTACCGTATATGCCGGACTCTCATTGTTTGTATAAGTTACGAATGCGGTGAAATTGGCAGAGTCGTTATATCTGAAATTGGCGGAGTCGATTTTCTTATTTGGATAGGTGTTCCTATCACTCGCTTTTAACATCTTTTTCTTCGCGAAACAATATTTAGCGACATGACTTATCTTATAGAAAAAATTACGTACAACCTTTTTCTTGTACGTTGCTGAGCACCATTACGATAACGTTATTTTTCTTCTGCTCGATGCAGCTAAGGCAGTGTTCACTTCGTTGACGTCATTCGAGCCTCTTCTCGAATCAACCTTTCTCGTAAACGGGGTAACGTTTGTTCCTCAGCGGCAACGCTATCCCAAACTAATATGAAAGCATTATACTTCGATGGTAAAGTCCCAAGGATCTTGGCCATGATCATGACGTCCGATATATTCTCGTCTATGTCCTTCAGCTAATTCGCCGTGTTCTCTATCTTGGCAATGTGTTA